TAAACATGAATTCTGAATCTTTTGGATTTTTTGCTCATATGCTTTCGTTAGGCAGGGACCGTACACTGAATCAGCAAAATTCAGGGTAGACAAAACTAAACTATCACATAACATTATTTTTGTTGCTTTTGTAAGAAAATTCCTATTTCCATAAGCCTTTTGAATACGTTTCTTCACGTGTGTTTCGAATCTTAAATTACTTTCGAAAATAAGTCCCAGAATTTTCGTTTGATCTACAATGGACAGGTCCTTGTCAAGTATTCTTATTTTGTCTTCAATCTTCTCCCTGATATTTTTTGACCCAAATATCAAAACATTTGACTTTTTTGGGTTGTTAACTAGACAATGATCAGTTGCAGTTTCAACAAAATTATTGACGTCTCTATTAACTTGTGCACAAGCCTTATCAACGTCTTCACGTTTGAAAGAGATATAGATATGTGTGTCGTCTGCGTATAATTGAGAAGAACAATGTCCAAGAGAGTTAACGGGCTGGCTGGTATGAATAGGAAAGAGTACTTGAAGTCGGGAGTGCCACAAGGTTCAATTCTAGAAAATTCGACCTATTGGCTGCTATTGTCACACTCTGATATCTTTCCCTCAAATAATTATTGAAGAATTCAACACTATGAGCAGATATTCCTATATGATGCAGAATTGACATTAGTACGTCATAGTTTATAGTGTCAAATGCCCTACTAAAATCAAGAAGTGTCAGGGCTGTACATAAACCTTAATCTGAAGCTGAGAGAATATTATCGACTATATGTAGCAAGGCGGTAGTGCAAATATGTCCTCTTCTATATCCAGATTGTGTCGGCGGTAAAATTGATTTTTCATTCAGGTAATTCGTGAGCCGATGATAACCGGGTATTTATTTTTTCATATGTAGACCGTAATAATGCTCCATCAATCCCTGAAAAGGAAAAAAGGAATTAGTAGTGTTATGGAAAATTGTTTATGTTTAATACCTACCTATTTTCAAGATGCCATATAATCTCACTCAAACCACCATGTAGACCACAGAAAACTTTCATGAATGATGTCTGCTACAGATTAAATTACTAGTAGGATTCCTGTAAATCGAATGAAATGATTTCACATGATGCGTATAAGTGTTTCTATTAAAAAAATTGTATTATATATCGTTACGTTTACTCACCTGTTGCTGAAGAGTATAATCACTTTTGCGTTAGTGGTAAACTGTCATCAGGAAATAATCAGATGCCAACCTCCAAATTCCAATCAGCTGTTATTCTCTCTGCGTGGCATTAGCTGAGTTAGTTGTTGTTTTTCATGCCCCCATTTTTTGAGTGTTCTGTCCACGAATTTCCCCCTTTTGATTTATTTCATACACATTCGATAACATATATATTTCTGTATTTATATCCTGCACCCGGAAGTCACGCAGGCAGCTATAGCTGCCTACGTGGTGATGTTACATGACATCTGGGAATGCTAGGTCTTCTAATTGATTCCACAAATGTGCGGTTAGCTCCTGTTGGTGACACGGTGCATAGGTATATATTGTGATGTTTTTCATTTTTGGTAACCAGTTGTTGTTCATCTTTGCAATTGGCTGCACCGCGCTGATGAGGCCAATAGCCAGAAACACGTGTCCGCGGTTTGGGTGCCGAATAGGCTGTTTCATCCTATTCGGCATCATCAGTACCGGGCAGGCGGTCCTCGATTGAAGACAAAATGTGAAAAACCAGAAAAGTACTTGATAAAAATAGCTGCGTAAACGCAAGTGAAACATAAGTGGAACCACCTATTGGTCAAGCAACAACCAAAAATGAAAAATTCAAATAATAATAAAAGCTAAAAATTGAAAAATTCAAAAATATTATAGAAAATGAAAAACTGAAATTGAAAGATTCCAAACCAAGTTACGTCACGACCTTTGAATTGTTAGTCTCCACAATCGTCTTCGGATGATAACTGGACTTATTCCTCCGAGATTTGACTATGTATAGGTCCTTTGCTTTCTCTAATCCCCTCTTCCCTCTCTCCGCTTCATTGGTTTTAGCGGGAGATAACCGTTTGGCAGGAATTGGTAGTTTTTCGCTTGATTAAAGGTTTCCGTATGTTACGTATCTCCACGCTAGCTTGACTAAATGCGTTGTTGGACAACATATACGCGGCTTTTTCTGGTTTCTCTTTGCTGTGTATGTTTTTTGTGCTTAGCAATGCGAACTTTCAATGGCCTCTTAGTTTCACCAATGTTTGATTCTCTGCACTCGCAGGGTATACGGTAAATGCAATTCTTGGAATCGCAGTCCGCGTTTGGTGGCCTGGTTTTCGTGATACGGATAGTGTTTCCAGATCTGAAAATGGTCCTGATGTTATACTTGTACCCAATTCTCCTTACCCTTTCCGATAATCACCTGATGTAGAAAAGTACAAGTACTGGTTGTGGCGGCTTCTCTTCCTTGTGGAGCTCTTGCTGTCTTCTAGCCAAAGCCTGTTATACCATCACTCTGGAGTAACTATTCCGTTGAATGTCATTTTTGATGATGCCTAGTTCCATTTCGAGACCTTCCTTTGTATTACAGAACCCGAAAGCACGGTCTAGCAGAGTCTTGATGATTCCTCTCTTAGTCTATTGATGGTGGTTGGATTTCTGGTTCAGATACTGTCCTGTGTTAGTGGGTTTTCGATATACAGATTTTTCCCATTCAGTGTTGGTCCTCTTCACTAATACGTCTAACAGAAGCAATCCGTTGTGGAATTCCTTCTCCATTGTGAAAGTGATGAAAGGACTTACGTCGTTGATGTGCTTCAGGGAAGTGTCTAGTTCTGCATTCCCAACCAACTCCCGCCAAACGATCATCTCTCGCTAAAACCAATGAAGCGGAGAGAGGAAAGAGTGGATAGGTGAAAGCACTGGAATGACCTATAAATAGTCAGATCTCAGGAATGGACTCAGGAATGAGTCCAGTTATCACCCGAAGACGATTGTGGATACTAACAATCGAAAAGTCGTGACGTAACTTGGTTTGAAATCTTTTAATTTTGATTTTTCATTTTTTGTCAATAATATTTTTAATTTTTTTTATTTTCTGCTTTTATCAATATTTGAATTTCAAATTTTTTTGGTGGTTGCTTGTATGTTATTTTTTGTAATTTAAGTTTTTTGTTTACTAAAATTGGTATTTTCAGTTTATCTTTTAATTTTTTTTCAGTGATTTCAAATCAATTCATATCATATTAGACAACGGAAGTCTGAACTGCAAAAATACACCACGAAACATTGTCAATCACTTTCAAACAAACATCAAATGTGAATTATCGTAATAAAATGCAGAATAAGAAAAAGAGCTATGGATGTTAACTAAGTAGATGTTCAAAATGTTAACCGCGATCGTCTTGGCAACATCCTAATCTCAAATAAAACTGTTTTCTAACATTATTCAACATATCAGGCGTGACCGACTTAATAGCAAGCGTTATTTGTTCTTTTGGGGCATTTAAATCTCAAGGTTTACTTTTGTACACATTGCTCTTTACAAATCCCCATAAATAGATATTTAATGATGAAATATCAGGTGATCGCGCTGGCCATTCAGTCGATCCTCGCTTCCCTATCAAGCGATTGGGAAATGTTGTATTGAGGTATTGCCGGACATTAACTTGGTATTGTGGTGGTGCTCCATCCTGCTGAAACCATATCGTATTCACTG